TCGGACAACAAGGAGAAAGAAAAAAAAAGCTAAATCAGAATGATGGTGAACACGTCGAGGTTTGCCTTCCTGTTGTTTCAAAACAATTGAAATTTACACTATAAGAGATGGAAACAGGTTGCCCAAGGAGGCTGTGGATGCTCCATCCCTGGAGACTGTCAAGACCAGGCTGGATGTGGCTCTGGGCAGCCTGGGCTGGTATTAAATGTGGAGGTTGGTGGCCCTGCCCATAGCAGGGGTTGAAACTGGATGATCATTGTGGTCCTTTTCAAGCCAGTCCATTCTATGATTCATTCTATGATGCTTGTCCAGTCCACAGATTGCCCTGAGCAGTGCAAAAGGCAACAAGAAAGAGCACACGAGCGGGATGGTCCTACAGATGGGTGCTGAGCAAGAGGAGCTCTGGCAATCCTGTAGCAGGATTAAGGCTGTCCATAAACTCAGCTCTCACCCTGCAGGGCACTCCAGGCAATGATTTGTCTCCTCTACCTCCCCCTGCTTTGTGGGCAAGAAGGATGACACGCACACCTCTGAGGAGCCACATCTCATTAGTCTGGTCATTCTACACAGGAACAGATGGTGAAATGTTTCCAGCCACCATCTTTCTATTGGGTTATTAAAATAAACTGATGGGTAGATAAGAACAGGACAAGGGGAAATGGTTTGAAGTTGGAGGAGGGAAGATGGAGGTTGGATGTGAGGGGGAAGTTCTTTGCTATGGGAGCGGTGAGGTGCTGGAAGAGCTGCCCAGAGAGGCTGTGATGCCCCGTCCATGGCTGGAGGTGTTGGAGGCCAGGTTGGATGGGGCCCTGGGCAGCCTGGGCTGCTGTGAAATGGGGAGGTTGGTGGCCCTGCTTGTGGCAGGGGGGTTGGAGCTTCATTATCACAGAATCACAGAATGGCCAGGGTTGGAAGGGAGCTCAAGGATCAATGAATCTCCAACCCCCTGCCACATGCAGGGCCACCAACCTCCACACATTGAATGCTAAACCAGGCTGCCCAGGGCCCCATCCAACCTGGCCTCCAACACCTCCAAGGACGGGGCATCCACAGCCTCTCAGGGCAGCCTGTTCCAGCACCTCACCACTCTCTGGGTAAAGAATTTCCCCCTGATGTCCGACCTCAATTTCCCCTCCCTCAACTTCAAACCATTTCCCCTCGTCCTACACATATCAACCCTTTCCAAGAGTTGATTCCCCTCCTGTCTGTAGGCTCCCTTTAGGTATTGAAAGGCTGCTTTCCAACCCAAACCGTTCTGCGACTCTGTGTTAAGGGTGGCTATCAGACACCTGCAGACGCTGTGCTTACAGTTAAGATGAGGGTCCAACACCTGCAGAGTGCCTTTGTCCTGACATCCACATCACAGGTGCTGGCGACCCCACAGACATCTGAAGGCCCTCCACAAAAAGCCGACGTCGTTTCTGAGCTGCAGCGTCCAACCGTGGGGAAAAGCCCAAGGATTTCAGGAGCCGAGTTCTCTCCAACCATGCAGTGTCATTTCTGAAGATGAACTGCTGTAGAATTAAGCTGTCACTCAAAATCTCTCTATTTGCCAACACTACACTGCAGGAATTTTTTAATATTTAGAAGGTATGCAGAGGCTTCAGACACGACCCAGCACAACACACAGAGCAACCCGTGACAGCACAGATTCTGGGGTAGATGATTAACAACGTGAAGAAAAGCAGAGTCCTCTAACCGCGTGTTCTGAAGTCATGGAACCACAGAACAGAACCACAGAATCAGCTTCAAGGCTGGAAAGAGAGACCCTCGAGGCTGGAAAGAGATTGAGTGAGTGTTGGGTCCTGCACATCTGCATTATTTTGTCTGGCATTATTGCTGTACCATTGGCCTGAGCTCTGCTATCTGCACGTGGGCACGTGCACAGCACACCCATCTCCTACCTTCCAGGATGCTCTCCATACAACAAGATGAGCAAAAACATCCATTGGAGGACCAGAAATGAGCGCTGGCATCTCCTCCTGGAAAAGTGGGAGGAAATGACCAAGATTTACAGGCTCCTTATTTAAGCTTATTTAAGCCTGTTCCTGATAAAATAAAAGACTGAACGTTTTCCTCTTAGTAACCAAGTGGAAACACATGGAAGTGCTGACAGCAGTACATTATCCTGCATGTTTCCAAAGAGAGAATGTTCCTGAGTCCTTCTTTAGTGAAAACACAAAGGAAAAGTGTCACATCAGCACTGTGCCACAGGTGGGGATCCTCTCTGGGTCTCACATCCTTCAGCATCTCCAGACTCACCAGGCACGGATTCCTGAAATGAACTGGCTTCTATGAGGCTTTCACTCCGCTTTGTAATATGAAATTCCCTTTCTTTTGTCTCTCTGTAAGCGTGAATAGTATTTTTTTGTGAAAGGAGAGGTTTCCTCTGATTGTAGAATTGATAAAGAGAGATACAGAACACACCTGTGAGTCGGATGACAACAGATCACTGGTGCTAGGCAGCATTCAAAGAGCTCTACAGCCTTAAAACACAGCTGCTAAACAACTACTGCAGGGAATCAAAGCCACCGTTTAACCTGGTGAACTTCAAGTCCAACGTGACTACAGAAAGTTTGCTTAAAGCAAACTGTTATGCAATTTGTGAACACACAGCTGGAAATGTACAGACGGACAAGGACAGATCGATGGTTCACCTGAAATCCCCAACAGGGATTTTGCATGTTTGATAGATATTAAAGGAAAGCAGGAAGGTTGGAACAAAGCACTAAGATCATCAAGTCCAACTCCAGGCCATCCCACTGTGACCCCATCACATCCCCCATGGTTCTGGAACAGAGGACCCCCCCCAGCTGTGCCAGCACTGACTGCTCTGGAAGAATCACACAGAACCACAGAATGATTTGAGTTGGAAGGGAAATCAAGGATCACGAAGCTCCAACCCTCCTGCTGCATGCAGGGCCACCAACCTCCCCATTTCACAGCAGCCCAGGCTGCCCAGGGCCCCATCCAACCTGGCCTCCAACACCTCCAGCCATGGACGGGGCATCACAGCCTCTCTGGGCAGCTCTTCCAGCACCTCACCACTCCCATAGCAAAGAACTTCCCCCTCACATCCAACCTCAGCCTTCCCTCCCTCAACTCCAAACCATTTCCCCTCGTCCTGCTCTCATCTCCCCTTTCCAAGACTTGACTCCCAAGTCCTCTTTATAGGCTCCCTTCAGGTCCTGCAGGCTGCACTGAGGTCACCCCACAGCCTCCTCTGCTCCATGCTCAACAAGCCCAGCTCCCTCAGCCTGTCTTTGCAGGACGTGCTGCAGCCCTCTGCTCAGCTCTGTGGCTCCTCTGGCCCCTCTCCAACAGCTCCCTGTCTTTCTTGCACTGGAGGCCCCACACCTGGACGCAGTGCTGCACATGGGGCCTCACGAGGGCAGAGCAGAGAGGGACAATCCCCTCCTGTCCCTGCTGCCACCCCTCTGCTGATGGAGCCCAGGTTGCCATTTGCTTTCTGAGCTGTAAGAGCACACTGCTGGCTCACGTTCAGTTTTCCACCCACCAGGACCCCCAGGTCCTCCCCTGCAGGGCTACAAATTGGTCCCTCTCTCCAATCCATGCTGCCGCAGCTCTGAGTGGGGCAGGCTGAGGGAGGGGAGTGCAGCCTGGAGAAGGGACCTCACCTCCTAAAGGGAGCTTAGAAACAGGATGAGAGCGACAGGACAAGGGGGAACAAGGAGCATCAGGAGTTATCACAAGGAAGAATAATAAGCAAGTAAACAGAAGGCATGACATCACTTCTGACTATCGTGTGTTTGCATCTCAAGCGCCGGTCTGGTTTGCTTCTGTCAGAGGAGCCAACAGAGCTGGAACAAGTACAGCTGGTCGGAGCAGCGTCTCCTGAAAGAGACTGAGCAGAAGTAGAACACGCACAGCTTCCCAGGGAAGATGCATTCAGCTCAGTTTGATGGATGAGTTCAGCTCAGAAAAACAGCAGAGACCAAGAAAGGCTCAAATGGGATTAAGGAGGTGAACTGACGGGTATTTACAGCTTCCTACAAACCAAAGAACGGAGACACCTCAAAGATACCAAGCAGCCAAGTATAAAACAGGCAGAACCAAGCATTAATTATGATTAGGGTCAGCACAGGAAGAAAAAGCCCTGTGGAACTTACTGCCATAGGAGGTTATGGAGTCCCAAAGCTTTGCTCTGCTGAAACACTGGATTTGTGAGAGCAGCTCACAGGAAGGAGGTTTGTAAGGGACACCCCCTGCCCTCCCCCCCCCCCAAAACACTCTGCAGCCACTCTGGTTCAGAACAAAGCACTCAGCTGATGACTGGCAGTGTCCCCTCATGCTGCTCATCTCCCCCCATGTCACCAGTGGGAGCAGATCCCAGCCCTGAGCCAGCTACATTTCCACAACAAGCTCGCCTGTCAGTGGGCCGCACTGCGACTGCCAACTGTTTTCTATTTCTCTATATTTTGCTGGCACGGATGACCACAAATATCTTGTTACCACCCACGTGCTACAGCTTTTAAATGGCTTCCAGAACCATTTTCTCCTGTTTCAAACCAGCAGGTGTGGCAGCTACCAAAGCTATCATGAAACGGTTGGAGGGGATCAGGTCAGGCTGCTCGTGATCCCATCCCACCCGGCCCTGAATGCCTCCACAGATGGGGCACCCACAACCTCTGTGGAGAAGCTGTTCCAACCATGACCAGCTCCAGCAGCACCACTGTTCTCAGATCACCTCTACAACTCTCCCAAGCCCTTCTGGGAGCTTTAAGAATGCCTTCTCACTGCCCAAAGGCTGAACAGAATGAGTGCTTTGCCATAGGAAACAACACCACTCACAGCCGGGTCACTCTGGGAAACCTTCATTCATGTAAGAACTCTTTTGTCTTTGCAGTTTTAGATCACAGAACCTCACCAGGAGCCTCCCAGCAGCACCACAGGACCCCCTCAAACGCCTCCAGGTATTGAATACAAAGAACAACCTCCCTCACAACCACTCCAGTTAAAAGGAAAGGCAGATGCAGTACCTTCAGTAGAAGTGATTTCAAACGTGAGATCTTCTCCACAGACAGAGAAACATTTGGGTTATGGTTCCTGGAATACACCCAGCTTCAGATAATTATCTTCATCCAGTGGGAATTCCCTCTCTCTATCCTGAAAAAAAAAAAAGAAATGTTAGAAAGTTATCGTTAACCAGAGGGAACTGAGGGTCAACAACTTGCCCAAACAAGCTTCCACACATCCCTCTATTCAAACAGAACAGGGAGTTGGGCTGTATGTGACAAACACTCTGCAAAGCCATCACTGGCCACCAGATAAACCTGTAATGAACTCTTTCTAATTACCCGTGCCCTCCTGCATTAGGGGTTAACAGCCCCTTTGCTCTGCAGCCCTCAGACTCAGCTGTGAGACTTGTACCTCAGTCAAGAACACGTTTGTTTTCTTGACATCACTTCAAAAGAAAGTTATAGGTTGTCAAGGAAACCTAAAAGGTCATTTTCACTTGTTCCAAGAATAATTGCAGCAACAATAGATGTATTTCACATCCAGCCTGGGGCCCCCATCGCTATGGAGGCAGCAAGGCAGCCAGTAGAGGAACAGCTCCTGGAGTGCAGGGCTGGCACGGGGCTGGGCTGCTCTCAACCTGCTCAGCCCCCACCCTGGCACAGCCCAGGGTCAGCCCAGACTGCCCTGCATGGGGCTCAGAGCATCATGTTACCCCAGTTCAGAAGAATGCTCGCATTCATTCTTGCAGCCCCAACCATCACCATGAGGTGGGGGATGAAGGATGGAGCACAGCCCTGCCAAAAAGGCCCCGTGAGGGGGGACAGCTGAGGGCAGCACCGTGCCCTCACAGCACTGAGAGACAACCAGAGCCTGCGTGCATCCAGAACCAGCAGCGTGAGGGAGGGGATCTGCCCCTCTGCTCTGTGCTGGGACATCTCACCTGGAGCACTGCGTCCACACGGGGAGTGCTCAGCACAGGACAGACACCGACCTGCTGGAGTGCGTCCACAGCAGAGACACACAGAGGGGCCCAGGCATGGAAATGCTCCCAGCGAGGACGGGCTGAGAGCTGGGGCTGTGCAGCTGCACAAAGGAAGGCTGCAGGGAGAGCTGAGAGCAGCCTTCAGTACCTGAAGAGGCTGTGGGAAAGGAGGGCACGCACTCTTTTGCAGGCTCTGTGTCACACGACGGGAGGAGATGGCTTCCAACCAGCAGAGGAAGACTGAGGCTGGCTGTAAGGAGCAAGGTTTTGGGCTGAGGGCAGCCAGGCGCCGCACAGGTTGCTCCCACGGCTGGTGCTGCCCCATCCCTGCTCGCAGCTCAGGGCTCTGAGCACTGACGGAGCTGTGGGGCTCCCTGCTCATGCAGGCAGTGGGACCAGGAGGCCTTTAAAGATGCCATCCAGCCCCTCTCTCGGCCCTGCAGGCAGCACGCTGTCACTCCAACCTCAGTTGTGTTCAGGCTGTGCTGGAATCCCAGCTCCAAGGAGTCTCGCTGCCCATCGCTGCCTGCTCCCGTGGCTTCACGTCCCTGAAAAGAGGAGCTCTCAGTTGTCCAGCAAACAATGAAGCTGTTACACGAGGAATGAAGGGCTGCTAAATCCATTGCTCATCATTACTTAATGACTTCCAGCTTCAAAGCCTTTCAAACAGCTGTCAGAAGGGACTGGAACACTTCTGCTGTGCAGGGGAAGGCTGGCAAAGCACCTGAGGAACTTCAGCGTGAGTGAAATGTAAAGGAATCCAAGAGCCTGCAGATTGACAGTGTTTCATCAGCCAGTATGTTACCAAATAGATATGAAATTACTAAAAACACCTTCCTCTTTTTCTTCCTTGCTCTTCTTCCTCACCTTTGCTTTTCTCTCACAAAAATAATCTCAGGGATGGAACAGCTGTCACAGGACAGGCTGAGAGCTGGGGCTGTGCAGCTGGAGAACAGAAGGCTGTGAGGTGATGTGAGAGCAGCCTGTATCTAACAAGGGGCTGCAGGAAAGGAGGGGGCAGACCCTCGAGCAGGGTCTGTGTTGGTAGAACAGGGGGAAATGGCTTCAAGTGTGGAGAGATTTAGGTTGGATCTAAGGAAAAAAAGTCTTTCACAGGGAGGGTGGTGAGGCAGTGGCACAGCTTGCCCAGAGATGTGGTTGGTGCTCCATCCCTGGAGGCTTGGAAGGCCAGGCTGCATCAGGCCCTGGGCAGCTGATGGAGCTGTGTTGTCCCTGTGCATTGCAGGGAGTTGGAACGGATGGCTCTCAGATTCCCTTCCAGCTCTAAGGATTCTATGATTCCATCGTGTCCTGGAAAGCTCCCCAAGCCTTCAGCCTCCCCAGAACTGTCAGCTGCTCACAGCTCTGCAATACTTTGCTGTCAGCTCCAGCACCACAGAGCTGTGAGCCACGCTCTGTGCATGTCTCTCATTGGGAAATCCCCTCACAAACAGAGAAAACTCCTAAGGAAAGGCCCTCAGCCAGGGCTGCAGCACACAGACGAGCATCAAGGACCAGGATCATCCCTTCAGACCTTCCAGGCTGATTTGAATCCTTAAAACCCCTCATCTCACTCATAGGCCACAGGCAGCCTTAAAACCAGTCCCACAGCTGTTGCTCTTTTCCACTTCCTTGCCTTCCAGCACACGCATCATCCATCCAGCCACCCCTCTGAGGCTCACCAGTGCCATAGGAAGCTCAGGGTTCCCACAGCAGCACACTGAGGCAGTAAACAACACGTCAGCAAAGGAAGCCAACAGATAATTTGGGGATTTATTGCCATGTAACTCAGCGTTACGGCCAGCGTCCTCCCTTCAGTTCCCTCCTCAAGCTCCTGCTGCCTCTTCACGCCGCTGTCAAAAGGAAATTTCATTCCCTGCGTGTTTTCAGATCACCCAAAACTTCACAGAAATTGCCAAAAGTCCAACAGCTGCCCAGGCACCGTTTGTTCTGTGGGCAAAACCTGAACTCCTCTATCAACCCCACCATCCTGTTTAACAGCACAAAGACTCCTGCCCCGCCAAAGCTGAAAGGTTCCCCTTCCTGACCCAGCACTGGCCTCAGTGCACCCCACGGTAGCAAAACGGTGTTTCAGACAACGATTTCAAGGTCCTCCAGGTATCCTGCAAGCTGACAGCACTCCTGCAGCAACAGCACTGCCTGGCATCCAGCAGCAGCTGCCTTGTCACAGTCCTTGGATTGCAGGACCACAGCCCTTCCATCAGCAACATGCATGAACATCTTTGGATGACCACCCTTTTCTGCTCACAGCAGCGTGGGACACGTGCTGCTCCTCTGCACTCAGTGCTGACCTCAACCCCAGCTCTCAGACGTAGCAGCCAAACCCCCAGCAGCCAATTTCACTTTAAAAAACGCGTTCTTTACAAATTCAGGTTCAGAGCGACTGCAAATTTATCTTCCTCTCCATCTGGACATCTGCAAAACGATATGCAAATCATGAGACAGATGAAATGACACGGGTAATTATAGCAGTAACCGAGACCAGGAGCTATTTCAAGCTGCGGGCCGAGCACCGCGCAGCGTTTGAGAGGAGCTGCCCCATCACACAGCAGCGTGCTGCGATGGCAGGGGCTGCAGGATGCTTTGTGAGCTGGATGTGAACTCCTCCAGCAGCCCCACCTGCAGCTCAGGAGCAGCTGGCTGTGAGCAGCACACGGTGCAGCACGCAGGGCAACACGTGGCTGCCATCCAGGGCTGTGTTTTATGGCCCAAACGCTGCGGCCGACCAAAAACCACTTGCAGCAGGAGGACTGCAAGGCCCCAGTCGTTGCCTCGATGGCCCCAGTCACAGAACCACAGAATGGTTTGGGTTGGAAGGGAACTCAAGGATCACGAAGATCCAGCCACCCCACCAAGGCAGGGCCACCAACCTCCCCATTTCACAGCAGCCCAGGCTGCCCAGGGCCCCATCCAACCTGGCCTCCAACACCTCCAGCCATGGACGGGGCATCACAGCCTCTCTGGGCAGCTCTGCCAGCACCTCACCACTCCCATAGCAAAGAACTTCCCCCTCACATCCAACCTCCATCTGCCCTCCCTCAACTCCAAACCATTTCCCCTCGTCCTGCTCTCATCTCCCCTTTCCAAGACTTGACTCCCAAGTCCTCTTTATAGGCTCCCTTCAGGTCCTGCAGGCTGCACTGAGGTCACCCCACAGCCTCCTCTGCTCCATGCTCAACAAGCCCAGCGCCCTCAGCCTGTCTTTGCAGGACGTGCTGCAGCCCTCTGCTCATCTCTGTGGCTCCTCTGGCCCCTCTCCAACAGCTCCCTGTCTTTCTTGCACTGGAGGCCCCACACCTGGACGCAGTGCTGCACGTGGGGCCTCAGAGGGCAGAGCAGAGAGGGACAATCCCCTCCTGTCCCTGCTGCCACCCCTCTGCTGATGGAGCCCTGGATACCATTTGCTTTCCAAGCTGCCACAGCCCCAAACGCCGTCCTGATGCTTCTTTCCCAGTGTTAAGAGTGTGCCAAGCATCACCTTGTGATCTACAGCAGCCGCCCCCTGCCTTTCCACTCATATCCCCCTTACCAACGTCACATCCTGCTCATTCACACTCCCAAGCTGACACTTTCAGTCAACTATGATCCATTTTAAAGATGTGCCGAGCTGCTCAGCAACCAACAGGCTGAGGAAAGCTGCCAGCTGAATGCAGAACAGCACGCTGCCACCTCACAGGCATTTTTGTTCCCCAGGATTTGCAGCACCAACATTATCCCCAGATCCTGGATCATTCGGTTGTCCCAAGCCTGGCTGTGCAACAGAAGCTGCAGGAGAAAAGGCAGCTTCTTTCCAGCAATCCTACTTGTCAATTACACCAGCTGTGCACGTGGTGAAAGCACTGCTCTGCTGCTGGACTTTCAAGCCACGTTCTCCTGCTTGCTCCCCTTTCCTTTGCTTCACTTCTCTTCTGACCATCATTAAAGGAAGAGTATTTCTGATTCAAGCAGACCTTGCCATGAAATCAGCAAGCAATTGGGCTACCACAGAACCAGCCAAGGAAATGCCTTCCAAAACTCAGCCCGATGCTCACTGGCAAGCTACAGAACCACTCAAGCTGGCTCTGAAAAAGCCAGGAAACAGAAAGCAAAAAACACCATCACCCACACTCCAGCATGAGCTCGGATCTCTGCAACTGGCACACAC